CTGTTAATGACTGACGACTCTGAACAAGAACCGCCTTGGATCTATCATGACCGGCATGACATTGCCAGCTGTGCTAAAGGCGGAAACGAGTGAGCTAACACCTGATATCGGAAGCCTGACCGTAACCAAAATGTGCATCACGTCGCACTAGGCGCGGCCTCGCAGAGTTTTTAATAAACATAATTTTGGCCCGCCTAATTTCTTAGTTGTGCACCCTTGGTCTAGCATTTCCCAGTAGATAATAGGGTTGGTAGGAGTCGTACCCTCGCTCCTAACGCACAATTCCATGAGTTTCCAGAGAGCTGCCAGGTGATGCAGTGTGCATAAAAAAACACCTATTTCGCCGTTCGCATTTAATCATTCTCCGGATAGTATACCTTCTACTTGAATATGCAAAGGGAACGAAATAATTAAGGGCAGAAAATCCAGAGCAAGAAGAGACAATAAGGGGGTTCCTCTTACATCCTCTGAAGCCTACTAAACAAACTGGTCTTCGATGATTTGGGATCTGCAAATTGGCCTATGACGGAGTGGCCTATTTTACAAGTTGTCTATCGACGAATTGACCTTTTACCAACTGACTTTCAACAAGTTGCCCGGATACCACTACACACAGGCATCAGCGCCCGCAGAAATATTCCCGGAGAGAGGAGAGGGTCCCGGAGGGGGGGTGGGGGGGAGTAAGGAAAACCCTCTTGATTTCTTGCATCATTTCCAGCAAAAGAACGGTGCAACTTCCTCACACCCCTCCTTGCACCCACACTTCCGGGCGCCCCTGCACACATGGGACGTCGGCGACCGTTCGCGCCTTCGTTGCCAACAGCAGCACTGCCATCTGCAGCTCCAGAAATACAATTAATGTAATTGTCGGTTGACACGATAAGGGGTAACACGAACGATCGGGCGCCTAAGCACACAAAGAACGAGCGTCGGCGACCGTTCGCGTCTTCGCACACAACAGCAGCGCGGCCATCTGCAACTCCGGAAACACAGAATTATGATGATGGTCGGTTCGAAAACGGAGAGGGGTGACAACACAGAACGTTGCACAGAAGACGCAAAGATATAAGTACACAACACAGTCGCTGCACAGCGGTTTCGAGCCATAACTCGCTAGCAGTCCTGGTAGCGTCACAGCGTTGTAGTCTTTGCGCCGTTGGTTGCAGTGGTCTAGGCCAGGGTCAGGGCCAGGCAGTCGAGGCGGCCGAAGTGGCCGAGGCCCTAAGCCTGCCGCTGTCGCTGCTGTTCGCAGCCGCCCAGTGTACGTAGCAGTGTCGGTATCGCTCCGAAGTTTAGCTGTTTATGACGGCTGTGTTTACTCTCTTTTCTTTGTGGATTTCGAAAACGCCCCGGCAAAAAAAAAAAAGAAAAAAAACGTCTGGAGGACCGATTTTGTCATTTTGGTTCCTGCGTAAACGACTTAGATCCAACCTGGGTGCCCAAATCTTGTTTATCGAACAGCGTGCTGATGAAGCTTGTAGCAATGATAATTGTATATATTTCCTTGGCGTCGGTGGATAATAGGACTTTAACTTTCTTTCCATCATTCTGGGTTTGTTTATTTTTGTTTGGGTAAATTAAAATAAAATAAAAAAACTGAACAGGAAAAAAATACACCGCTCCTTCCAGGGATCGAACATTTGACCACTTGGTTGGTAGTGCGATGTTCTACCCCTGCGCCAACTGAACAGGAGGAACTGTACCTCCTCCTTTCGTCTGAACTTCCCTTCCTCCCTTCTTTGGGGAACGTGTCCACAGCAAGGCGGAACAGTCGCTGTTTCTACTTTTCATCTCCTATTTTTCTGAGAGTGTAGGTGTCCATCTCTTATGCCACAAACGAAACGATCTCTCAGCATGAAGTCGAGAGGTAGCATGGTTGAGCTTAAAACTGGCTCCAGTTGCTGAGATTCCGGTTGCACCCACGCTGGTGGAGCCGGCTGTCGTTCCAGTTGTGACCACACCCATGCCTGCAGTACTTGGAGTTGTCGCGGCCGCCTATGCCACCAGAATCCCGCAGTTACAATCAGCGGCTAACTTCATTAGGGCTGCCGTGTAGCTAGAAATGGACACCCCGGGCTGCTGGTCTCTTCGCTGGAACTTCGTTCTGCTGAAGAGCTTTGACGGCCGCGGGTCGAAGTGTTTCTGCAACATCAACATGAGTTCGTTGAAAGTAACGCTTCCAAAAGTTCTCGGTGCAGTTAGTTCTCGCACAACTTCGTACGTCTGGAGTTAGTGCTCGCACAACTTCGTATCGTAAGCAGTAGGGCCCTTTTGTTGAAAGGATCTGCTATTTCGTTCGCCTCGCAGTAGAAGCTAAAGTGCTCAACCCAGGATGTCCAAGCAGTCTGGTCAAATGTTTCCAGCTTGCCTTGGATGGCCAACCCGCTACTGTTCTTGGGGATTGACTGACCTCGTCGCCAATAAATGAGACTTATCCCGGGCGAAGCACAAGCGTCTCCGTGTCGGAGCACAAGCACGACACCAAAAAGCTTCCTGCAATTTTTTTTTTTAAGGAAAGAAAGATATTTATAAAAGACAAGAAAAACTGAAAGCCGTTTACAACTCCCTGTAACGCCAAATTACAGCGCACCTCTTTAGGAGCTACAGTTGGGAGGGGTATACCATCCCCTCAGTACCTCTTGAGATTGAGAGTACTGAGGGGAGGGTATACACCTCCTCCCTCCCCCTCACCTCCTCCATCCTGTCTCCTACTCCTCCCTCCAAGCGGCGTCGCCGTCGCCGTCAGCGTGACCGTGCGGTCACGTGACCCTCGTGATCTCACGGGGGTCACGTGACGTTACGGGGGTCACGTGACATTACGGTTATGGCGACGGCAACGGTGGCGCCGCTCAAACCGGAAAGGGGCGGCTAAGAGCTGCGCTCTAAAAGACGTCACGATCATAGCGTTATTATAATGTACTTTAGAGGTTCAGCTGGAGCTAGTGTCTATGCGATTTCCGGGAGGCAAATTAAAGCAGACAGCAACCAGTCTACATTTGTGGCGCTCTGTGCATTCCAGTGGGAAAATACGCACGCATTTTGTCTTTTCGACGAAAAAAATTATATATAACCTTTTCTGATTTGAGTCGCACCGGCTACAGTCTCAACAAAAGGGTAGTCGTAGGGGTCTACATTTGGGGTTGTCAGAAGCCGTCACAGATATCGCTACACCCCCCCCCCCCCTTTAATAATAATAATAACAACCCCATGGGTATAGTCACAGGGCATGCAATCAACAGGTAGTGACAGTGAGCACCCCCAAAAGCGACATGGCGGCTGGCAAGCGACAATGGAGCAACATGAGTAAGGCCTAGCGAGCTGGACTGCTTTTTTGCTAAAATACGATTCTCAAGTGCGTGCGCCCGCTCGCTGCCTTCCGTGCGCACTAAGCACTCCAAAACGCGCCTCGAAGCACCGGCACCGCACCTATTACGAGTGGGGGCGGCGATGTGAGGGGGGTATTCGAGTGGGTTTATCCGCGACTGCTTTCGCGCGGCCGGCTGCATTTACTTCGCGGCCAGAGAACATTCAAAGAAGGAATCGTATAGCGACAAACGAAATTATGTCTTTATTGAACAGGGAATCTGCTTGCTGTGCTTGCCGCAAGTGATCCGGCGTTTTCGGTTGACAGCGGCGAGGCGAGGCATCACCGATTCAAGCGGCGTCGGTTCCGATCGTTCAACGCTCCTGCTCACCTGTTAGCATTCGTTATCCACGTTCAAGTCCCTCGTAATCCCCACCGCGTCTGCGCACGCACTATTCACCCGCATGGAACACCCATTCAACTCGCTATGTGACTGATCCCACTGGACGAGAGGCCGAGAACCGAACCCTTTGCGGCTGCTCCGTGGAGCCATGGAGCGCCTCCATGTTTTTCACTCAAATAAGCAGACACATAAACGCACAACTCCTTGAATTGGGCGGCGACACGCGCCACCTAACGGACAGCGCTCAAACTAAGAAAAAAGAAACCAACAGTCTGCATGCTTTGAGCGCATCGTCAGACATGCACGTACTGTATAGTCCACACCACACTTCACACATACGCGACATACAGACACCATACGATAATATACATCAACGGGTTCACAAACAGCACAAGGTACAACATGAGCTATTGACACTCTACATTCCTATACACACGATTAGTCGACACCACCAGCTTATATACTGCTGTATCTTCTGTGACCGATTAGGATGGTGACCAATGTCATATTTTGCATAAATACGAAAAGACTGTGCAAGATTTAACCGTATATATTATTTTCCTCTACTGTCCTTAGGAAAGCTCTCGTATCTCTCATGTAATCCATTGCAAAAGTGAACTGCAGGTTATAAATCAAATGGGGGCGTGACACCATCGGGATGGCGCACTCACCGTCACTGTACTTACAGATCCTGTTCCTGGTCACAACCCCTACCTTTGATGCGGCTCCACCACCGACAGTACCAGCGACGCCTGACGTTCTTCGCCAACAGGAAGCAGCGGAGGGTTACCCGACACACCCGCCAAAACTGGACGCATCGCTACCTTTTCACTGGCAACCTACGGCCACAGCGTCGGCAACAGGCAGCCGATATAACGAGGACCCACGCACCTATCTATTGGGGCGTGACACCATCGGGATGGCGCACTCACCGTCACTGTACTCACAGATCCTGTTCCTGATCACAACCCCTACCTTTGATGCGGCTCCACCACCGACAGCACCAGCGACGCCTGACGTTCTTCGCCAACAGCAAGCAGCGGAGGATTACCCGACACACCCGCCAAAACTGGACGCATCGCTACCTTTTCACTGGCAACCTACGGCCACAGCGTCGGCAACAGGCAGCCTATATAACGAGGAGCCTCGCACCTATCTATTGGGGCGTGACACCACCGGGATGGCGCACTCACCGTCACTGTACTTACAGGTTAGTTATTTAGACCACTGCACTACCTATCGGTCGAGCGACTATTGTTTGTTCGCGGTGTCATTCCCCTTTGACCACCAAAGTATTGGAAAGCGAATTCGCGCGTGCTTTGTATCTTTTTTCCCTTCCTGCTTATCACGTCTACGGCTTCTTGTGGCAGGAGATGTTGAATCGAACCCTGGCCCCGAAACCCGAAGCGCTGATGTTCAAACAACAATCCTAGCAACTGTGCAAAGAATTGAAGAAGGCCAAACACAAATTCTAAGTGAAGTGAGACTACTGAAAGATAAACAGAAAACCACAGATACTAAACTGCAACAGTTATCGGACAAAGTGACAGCACTAGAAGCCGAGCTTGCGCAGTTGAAGTCCCAATCTCCCTCCCTCTTACCTTCTGAAACCATCCCGTTACTTGAATCTAAAATTAGTCATGTACAGGCTAGATGCGACGATGCAGAAAACAGACTTCGCCGTTGTAACATTTTGTTTTACGGTATCGAGGATTCTGAAAACGAAACGTGGGCCATGAGCGAGGGAATCATTTTAGAATTCTGCATGCAAAAACTTAAACAGACCGTAAGCTCCGATTGTGTTGAGAGGGCCCATCGCCTGGGACGTTTTTCAGCGGGAAGAAATCGGCCAATAATGGTGAAGTTTTCCCGATTCAAGGCAAAAGATCGAATCTTAATGTCCGGTCCATTGCTTAAAGGGACACCTTTTGCCGTAGGGGAAGACTTTTCTTTGGATGTTCGTATTGCTAGAAGAAAACTTCTCCATTTTGCAAACGAAAAAAATATGTCTTACAAGCTGACGTTTAATAAGCTAAAAATGGATAACAGGATATTTGTTTACAATCCCCTATCAGACAGTGTAGAACAATGACAGCATAACAGCGAACGAAACAAAAATCTAAGCCCTCCTGTCCTAATCGGGTCTTATCAAGAATCTCGGATAAAACGTGCAATGTTTCATTTTTGTTCACTAACATCCGCAGTGTAATCCCTAAACATGATTTACTAGCATCATATTCGTACGATAACGATACCGACGTTGTAATCCTAACAGAGACTTGGCTTAAACCTGGTATACTTGATAAGAAAATATTTGACACCTAAGCAGACTTCAACCTTTATCGCCGTGACAGATGTATCAGGAGGGGAGGAGGTATCTTGATAGCTGTCAGAAAAGACATTCCTTCGTGCATAATAAAAATTGATAAATACATCGAGATGCTATGGATGTGTCTTCATACTTCATTCAAGAAAACCATAATTGGCGTCTGTTATCGACCACCCAACAGTGACTCATCATTCTGTGATTCGTTTCACGATAACTTAAACCTGATTCATTGCGACTATCTGAAAGGCGACGTATTTGTATTTGGTGACTTTAACTTTCCATCTATCGACTGGTCGACACTATCATCCTTAGATAATACTGAAACAAATTTCGTGAATATATGCCTAACTTTCAACCTCGTACAAGTCGTATCCGCCAGCACGCGCGGCAACAACATTCTCGACTTAGTACTAGCATCAGCACCAGACGTAATCACTTCCTTGACCTGCTGCGACGGTTTCAGTGATCATAAAATTGTGGATCTGAAATTAAACTTATCTAACTCCCAAAACCTGCATACTATTAAGCTGATAAGCGATTACAGCAAGGCTGACTATGACTCAATTAATAAAAGCTTCCAGCATTTTTGTTCTTCATTCACTGCCGGCTTTCACACTCGTACAGTAGAAAATAATTGGAATATGTTTAAAAATAAATTTCCTGCGCTCATTGACGCTCATATTCCCCTTGTTTCAATTCGTTCCGACGTCAGTCAGCCCTGGTTTAGTAAAGTACTAAAAACGCTTCGTAATAAAAAGAAAAGACTATTCCAAAAGGCGAAAAAATTCGATTCTGATGCATTGTGGGCGAGGTACTCTAGCTGCGAAAAAGAATATATTACCTGTCTAGAAAACTCAAAGAAAAGTACTTTAATTACAATTTACCTGCTCTACTTAAAAACAATCCAACTAAGTTCTGGAAAAATGTATCGCCAACCGAGTCTGATGATAAGATATGCCTTATTAGCGGTTCTGGCCGACTCGTACCCGACGCGAGCTGCCCAACAGTCCCCAATACTTTCTTTACGTCTGTTTTTACAACCGAGGACCTAAGTAATATTCCGTTTGTACCAGAGCTAGACAGCCCGTTCTATGGAACCCATTTCAATATCGCCTGCAGGAATTCTAAAACTCATCAATAACCTGAAAATCTCAACATCCGCGGGCACCGCCATGATTACCTCTAAAATATCACGTAAGACTGCTGAGGTATATCAAATATATTTTGCTTACTTTTTGAACAATCATTATCTACCGGATCCATCCCTTCTGACTGGAAGATCAGGAAGATCGTTCCAGTTTTCAAAAGTGGCAATAAAAACTCAGCAAATAATTATCGACCCATCTCATTAACAAGTGTTGTCTCAAAGCTATTGGAACATGATATTTTCTCGAATGTGATGTCCCATCTTGACCAAAACAACTTTTTTTACAAACACCAGTACGGATTTCGTAAAGGGTTCTCATGCGACAACCAACTCCTTGAATTCACTCACGACATGCCTAGTAACATGGACCTAAACACCCAGACCGACGCCATTTTCTTAGACTTCTCTAAAGCGTTCGGCCGCATGCCGCACTGCTCCGTCTAATATGTAAACTCTCCTCACTTCGCATTGACGACTTAACTCTTTCCTGGATCCGAAACTTTTTCTCCTTAAAACAGCAGTTCACCACAGTAGGTGATTTTTACTCGGAGCTTTCCGATGTAACCTCCGGGGTGCCGCAAGGTACTGTTCTTGGCCCTCTTCTATATCTAATATACATTAATGATCTCCCGCAGTCGCTAACATCCTGTGTACGTCTCCCGAGCAGCACCAGAAAGTGAATTTCGATCGGCCGACGGTTGGCCAGTGTCTGGACAGCTTGGCCGCTTTAAGTGCTTGGCCACCGGAGACATAAACACGGCCGCAAGTGTTTGGCCAGCAGTGCTGATTTTCAGCTTGGCCGCCGGAAACATAAACTCGGCCGGCGAGTGTTTGGCCAGAAGTGCTGATTTTTAGCTTGGCCGCCGTGGACATAAACATGGCCGGCAAGTGTTCGGCCAGAAGTGCTGATTTTCAGCTTGGCCGCCGAAGACATACACACGGCCGGCAAATGTCTGGCCAAAAGTGTTGATTTTCAGTTTCGCCGAAGGGACACCCATAACCTTAGCTTTCATCACGCTGAAGAAACTTTGGCATGACGACGGGCAGCGACAGAAGCATCATAAGCGAGTGTTTGGCAGGATTGTAGTGCATGCATCGCGCGAACATTGTTAGCGCAAGCAAATGATCACCGTCTTATTCAGTTCTTTTTTTTCGTTAGACTTGAAAGGCTATTGTTTTAACTAGCACTGTCGTGTGATATGTTCATTTGGAACATTACCAGAAGATGGAAAATATTGTGCCCGTCATTGTTCTATGAAAATAAAATACCAAAACAGCACCGACGTCATCTTCGCGCTAACAATACCACTCTGTCGCTGCGCGGCACTTTTAGCGCGAATACCGCACCCGCGATTTTTTGGTTAGTGCTCCACATATTTACTTCCCAACTGCACTCGAAGAAAAAAAAGTTGTAGTCGGGTGCATCGGGTGCACATGCTCCCCTTTCCTGGAAGACGCACCCTCCGTTACCCAGCCAGTGTACTTGTACACCGACCATAAGCCCCCTTCTCTACCTTAAAAACTTATAGGTGTATCATTGCAGTCAGCTTAATAAACCGCCACGCTAGCCACGCACCCCGATCAGCTTGTGCTTGACTCGGATAAGACTGGATATTTCAGGCTTTGTGTTTTGGAAGAGCCTAAACAAGACGTCTCTCATATATTGATTAAACTTAAGCTAGTCTCAGTAATGTTTTATATAGGTGCTAGGATACTGATTTCCTGAGCCAACGAAAGCTAACAGCTTCGGTTAAAACCGCAACGGAGACGTTCAAAATCGAACCACACGTAAAGGAAAAGGAAATGAACATCTCGACCTAGATGTGCAGAACGCTGGTTTTGTTGTTAACAATGTGGTTGTTGGCGAGTGGTGGGCAACGCCGTGACGCTATTGACGCTATCGTGGTGATTGACGCCAGTGCTGCTCGGCCGAACTACACAGTAAAAGTTTTTACACCTTTAAGAAAGTAAAAGGGGTGTTGTAGCAACTTACACCCTCGGCTACACCCCTTTAACACCCTAAAAACAAGGAATACAACCTCATAATTTTACAAAAAAAAAGGTGCTGTTTCGTGTTACACCCTACATTTAGTGAAGAATGTGAGAAGGGGGTAGAAGAGGGTGTTAAATAAATAATGTGAAATGGTTTTGGAAAGCTTATATATGGCTCTGTCCAATGTACAGGTAAGATTTCTGCTTGAAAAGCAACAGTTGTTAGCAGTCTAGTTTTTTATAATGTCAGTTGTAATTCATGCAAATAGCTGATAATAAAGTGCCTCTTTTGCATACAATTTTTATGTATGCAAACAAAACTTTAAATATGAGTTCATATTTAATTTTCTTACGAATCCCTCCATGCTCAGAAATTGGAAAGTAGGGTGAAATTATCTATACTAGCATTTTTTACAAATATTTATTGATGGAAGTGTACAGTAAAAAAATCAGTTAGTCTCGAGTTTATATCTGGCAACATGAAATCAAAATATAGTGAAAATTTTCGGCAAATATTCATGACATGATGCTAGAACCTATCACATGGCCATGTCAACCTGAGTAAAACATTCATTTGAGAATATGTTGACATGCACAAAAACTCACACACATAAAGAGGCAAATCCCATAATAAACCAGTCCGAGACATCCCATGCAAAAATGGCCTATGGTCGTCTACGGAAAATTCAATGGCAGGTTATCACCCCCTGTAGCTTTGCATGGTCGGGGTGGGGTGGTTAGATATTTATAGATACAGTTACAGCCAGCTATAGAAAAGTTTAGGGCCCTGTGTCTAAAGACTCAGGCTATGTTTCAACAACAACAACAACAACAATAATAATAATAATAATAATAATCAATAAGTTAGTGCTTAATAGTGTCCAGGGACATCCAATTGTTCTTCTTGCGGGCGCAGTGCAATAAAACGCACAGACAGACGCTTGCGCGCTCGCAGTCTCACACAGACACGCGCGCACGCACGTACACACGCATGCACACGCGCAAACCCACGCCCGCGCGCAGACGCACACGCACGCACAACCAGAGGCGCACACACGCATGCACGCGGACGCATCCACACGCGCGCGCACAAACACACCCACGCCCATGCACGCACACACACACGCAAACAATTACGACGAAGGAAACGTTGCTTAAGTTAGTTTTGGTTTCGGTTTACACAAAAAAGAAACAACCTAAAGTTTAAATAAAACCTAAGATTTACTCACTTTTTGTAAAGTTTTACATTATTATTTTAGTGACATTCTTATTGTTACTAATATAATAATAATTTGCTTAGTATCGTTCTAAAAAAAATAACAATAAATAAAAAGTAAAACAGACTCTTGAAGACTGCATAAGACCATCGCTATTGAAATCAGCTTCCGTTGGGCTCGGTTGAATGGTCGTTGAAGTTCGAGATGCTTCGGAAATTTCTTTTTCTTTTACGTTTTAGCCGTTTTAGTGGATATTTTGGATATCCTCCTTACGAATACCGTGTTCAAGAATAGCAATCGAAGATTGAGAGCTGGGAGACGCTGCGTCTTGCCAACGCCCGTAAGTTCAGAACCGCCCATGCACAACTCGTGCAAACGCCGGTAAGCAACTTTCTTTTGTTTCTGCG